AACATATGATGGGATACTGTTCAATGCTAAGAAGAAATGTGCTATTAAAGTATGAAAAGACATGGACAGACCTTAAACGCACTCTGATAAGTGAAAGAAGCAGAATGAAAAGGTGATACACTGTATGATACAAATTATATGGCATTCTAGAAAGGCAAACATTACGTCTGCCAGATTATCAAGGTCAAAATAAACAGTGATAAGTCATATTGATAATATGTATTTATAATACCCTGGATATATATTATCTCTGTGTTCTGTTACCCACTCTAATCATAAGAAAAACATCAGACAAACCCCAAATAAGAGACATCCTACCAAATACCTGATTAGTATTCCTCAAAACTGTCAAAGTCGTCAAAATAAGGGAATTTTTGTCACAGCCAAGAGAAGTCTAAGGAGACATGACAACTAAATATAATATGGTGTCCCTGATCAGGTCCTGGTACATAAAAAAGGTATTAGGGGAAAACAAAGGAAACCTGAATAAGGTATGGATTTCAGTTAATATTAATGTATCACTGTTGTTTCTTTAATTGAAACAAATATGCCATGCTAATGTAAGATACTAATAACAGAGAAACTGGGTATGAGGAATGTAGGAACTCTGTAGTATCCACATAATGTTTTGTAAATCTAGAAATATTTTAAAATACAAAGTTTATTTGAATAAAATTGTATTTTTATATTCAAGCAACAGACAATCAAAATATGAAATTTTAAATTCCATTTACAATAGCATCAAAAAATAGGAAATACTTAGGGGGAAATCTGACTAAAAAGTATAAGACTTTTACGCTAAAAACAATAAGATAACTTATGGGAAATTAAATATCTAAGGAAAAGAAAAGACAACCTGTGTTCATGAGTGTAACACTTGACATTCTTTAGATGTCATGTCCCCAATTTCAATCAAATTCCAAAGCAGGCTGTTTCATATGTATGAAGCTAATTCTAAAATTAAAAATGCAAAGTAACTACAATAGCCAAAAGAACACTGAAAAAGAACAAAGTTGGAGGACTAGCATTACCTAATTTGAAGACAAAACAGAGTCATCAGGAGTGCTGTACCATATCTGGCATCATGATATATAAATATTAGAGGCCCGGTGCACGAAATTCATGCATGAGGCCGGGGGGTGGAGGGATGTCTGTGTCCCTCAGCCCAGCCTGCATCCTCTCCAATCTGGGACATCCCTCTCACAATCCAAGACTGCTGGCTCCCATTGCTCACCTGCCTGCCTTCTGATCACCCCCTAACCACTCTCATGCCAGCCTGATTGATGTCTAACTGCTCCCCTGCCAGCCTGTCTGCCCCCAACCTCTCTCCTCTGCCGGCCTGATCACCCCTAACTGCCCTCCCCTGCAGTGTTGATCACCTCCAATTGCCCTTCCTTGCAGGCCTGCTGTCTCCCAACTGCCCTCCTCTGCTTGCCATCTTGTGTCTACATGGGGTAGCCATCTTTGACCACATGGGGCCAGCTATTGTGTGTTGGAGTGATGGTCAATCTGCATATTACTCTTTTATTAGAATAGGATAGAGGCCTGGTACAGGGATAGGGGCCAGCCAGTTTGCCCTGAAGGGTGTCTGAATCAGGGTGGGGGTTCCCTTGGGGCATGGGGTGGCCTGAGGGGCCTGTGGTGGTTTTCAGCTAGCCACGCCTCCTGGCAATGCAAGCGGAGGCCCTGGTATCTGGAATTTATTTACCTTCTACAATTGAAACTTTGTAGCCTGGAGTGGAGCCAAGTCTTCTGCTTGCTCCTTGGCAGCAACCATTTCTGTTTGTATTTGTTTACCTTCTATAATTGAAACTTTGTAGCCTTGAGTGGAAGCTTAGGCCAGCAAGGGCAGGCGGAAAGCTTGGCTTCCTCTGTTGCCTGGGAAACCCTCCTGCTCTCTGTGGCTGTAGCCATCTTGGTTGGGTTTATTTTCATACTCACTCTGATTGGCTGGTGGGCGTGGCTGGTGGGCATGGCTTGTGAGTATAGCTGAGTGGTGGTTAATTTGCATATTACTCTTTTATTACGTAGGATGTTCATCAAACAAAAGAGATAACCAAGAAACAAACTTTCACATACATGGACAAGTGACTTGCTACAAAGGTAGAAAACAATTTCATGTAGAAAGGATATTTTTTTAATTAAATATCCATATGCATAAAAGTAAACTTTGATCTATATCTAGTACTATACACAAAAAGTAACTTGAAATGGATCACAGATCTAAATATAAGAACTAGCCCTAGCTGGTTTGGCTCAATGGATAGAGCGTCAGCCTGCAGACTCTAGGGTCCCAGGTTCGATTTCGGTCAAGGGTATGTACCTTAGTTGCGGGCACATCCCCAGTAGGGGGTGTGCAGGAGGCAGCTGATTGATGTTTCTCTCTCTTCTATGTTCCTAACTCTCTATTCCTCTCTCTTCCTCTCTGTAAAAAATCAATAAAATAAAAAAATAAAAATAAATGTAAGAACTAAAACTACAAAACTGCTAGAAGAAAATATGGGAGAAAAATCTCAGTTACCTGAAGCTTAATGATATTTTTAAAAGAACATAGAAAGCTGGATGTGAATTTCTGAAAGCCAATAAATTTTACTTAATCAAAATCAGGAACATATATGCTCCTTAAAAGACACTGTTAAGAAAATAAAAAGGCAATCCAGAGACAGGGAGAAAAATAAATGCAAAACACATAGCTGACAAAACTTATACCTAAAATACCAAAAAAACTTTCACAACTTACTAATGATATAAACAACTCAATAAGAGCGTGAAAAAGACTTGAACAGAAACTAAGAAAAGAAAAAGAAAAATATATATATATATATATCCCATAAGCACATGAACAGATGCATAAAATCATTAGTCATTAAGAAGGCAAATCATTAACCACAATATATACCTATTAGAATAGCTAACATTAGATTCCGCATACCAAGTGTTGGTGAGGATATGGAACAACTAGAACATTCATACACTGGTGGTGCAAAGGTAAAATAAAATAGTGCAACCAATTTGGGAAACAGTTTACAGTTTTTTCTGAAGTTAAATATCCATCATGTGACTTAGTCACTGTATTTACTGTATTTATCCAAGAAAAATAAAAGCTTTTGTCCATACAAAGACTCACAGAAGAACATTCATAACACTTTTATTTGTGTAGTCCCAAATAACAATCAAAATGTCTAATGTGGACATACGATGAAATATTACTCTGTGACAAACAGAATTAAACTCTTGATTATATGTGACAACATGCATAAATCTCAGAATAATTATGGTGAGTGAAAATATCCTGGCAAAAGAAAACATACTCTGTGATTTCATTTATATGACATTTTAAAGAATACAAACAATTTCCTATGCCAGACAGCAAATCAGTGGTAGCCTAGGAATTCAAGGTAAAGAGAGGTTATGGAAGGTTATGAGGAAACTTTTGGGGTCACTGGTTAGGGCTACTATCCTGATTGTGATGATCGTTTTAGAGGTACATACTACATGTGTCAAAACTGACCAAACGTTAATATCATTAATACAAATGTACACCAAAAATATCTCCAATTATACATCTATCTGTTAGAATATTTTAATAATCTACTAAAATGTTTTCAAAGAACTTCCAATGACTTGGGAAAATGCTTATGGTTTACAATTAAGTGAAATGGCTCAAATATATAACTTAATATGCGATGATGTCAATTACATTGAAAGATTATGTACACAGATAAAAATATTTCTGGTTAGAAACAGATGTATGTTACTAAAAATCTTCCCTGGGTTATGGAATCATGGGAGATTTAAATTTTCTTTACACTTTTCTCTATTTCCAAAGGCTTTCTTTGTTGATGCTGTTTTATTTGACTATCATTTTTTAAAATGTTTTTATTGATTTTTAGAGGGAGAGAAGGAGAGAGGAATAGTAACATCGATGAAAGAGGAACATCATCAATTGGCTGCCTCCTGCATGCCCTCTACTGCGGATCAATTCTGTAACTTGGACATGTACACTGACTGGGAATAAAACCTGGGACATCTTGGTTTCTGGGTTGACACTCAACCACTGAGCCACATCATCAGGAATTGATTATTTTGATTTTACCTGAGATTGCAATGTCTTTTTAAGCAGGAAATAAAAGCGTAGGTGAAGGGAAGAATTTGAGTGATTATCTATTCTGACAAATGATTCCAATGTAGGCATCACAGACCCAATACTCTGGGTTGAAATATCAAAGAGAAGACTCTGAGAGCTCATGCAAATCAAGTATTATTTGTAACTTAATAATTTGTTTCACACTCACATGAACTATTATTTTTTCAAATATATCCACTGAAATTCAACCTTGCTGAATCTGTACAATCGCTATTTTTCACATCAATAAGTACCAAAACTAAAACTAAACTAAACTAAAATTAAATTAAAATAAAACATCTACTAGCATGGAGGTCCTCAAAAACTGATTCCATTATACTTATTGCCTGTAGGCTGCTTTAGTGGAATGTCTTCTGCTACTGTACCAGTATGTAGGATGGGCTAAGCACAGTAGTTGACATTCAGCTAATAAGTTCCACTACATGTTCCAATTTCTCTGCTATGACTTTTTACTATATTCTAAACCACCTCTTTACTAAGCTACTCTAAAACCTGTGCTTTGTGTGTTCATACACTGTTCAGACCCTAGAACATAATTTAAGTTATAAAGCTAAATTAATAATCAAATGCTAAAGTCAAACATGCAGTGTGCCCAGAATGGCTTTGTAAAAGCTATTTTAGTTAAACATTCAGGCTTTCTCCATATGTAAGACTGAGATTACTCAGTATGAGTCCTGGTTAGGTGCGGCATTACCAATCAGTGATTGATCTTCGGGAAATCATTTAATGTGTGCCGAAGCTTCTACAACTTTTTTGTAATAATCCTCTCCAAAATTAAAGTCAACAAATAACTTAATTACCATTATAAAATAAACTACAAAAAGCAGAGTCATTAATAATAAACTATTTGTTGTTCAAAGGCAGTTTAGTTTACCTCAAAGAATTATTCTCTGCTTTTTGCCTGCCAAGTTCACTTTCAGTGTCCATTGCCTTTCTTGCTAGTGATTTCATTTCTTTCTCCACAGTGGTTATGGTCTCCTTCATCAAAGTCATATTTGACATTTGCTCCATACGTTCATCATCAAGCTATACAAGTGAAATGACCAGGTTACTGCCATCACTAAAAAAGCCTCTATTTGTAAAAACTGGTAGATGACAAGATTGATACAATGAGATGATCAGCTTAAGCTTGAATTTTATGTCAGGCTATATGGACAAAGTGTTGTGGAGTAGGAACAATAATAGTATATATGGGGATTAAGGGAAGGGGACGAGAGATATCTGAAATACCAGCAACAATAAAAATATATATTTAAAAAAGGAATAGTATATCCATCTACATTTTCAATCTGGTTCAATTCGACTTCCGCATACATATTCTATTTGCAAAAAAATTCATATTTGTTGCTCAACCTAACAATTTATAGCTATAAAGTAGAATTATGAAATAAATTATTTCCCCCCCTATCTACTGCTTTTTTTTTACTCATATAAACATGGTACACATGAATTTATAAATGCATTAAATTAAATTTGTAACAGAAAGTCAAATTCCATTAATTCTGTTTATATAGTCATAATATCTCAAATACAGCATCTCAAATCTTTCATTAATAAAAAAGGTATTGCCTCACATTTAAATTCAGTTTACATATATTTTTCTCATTAATTTTCATTTCACCATAATTTTTTCTACCCTAGGTACTCTTTAGGTAGAATAATCCTGTTTTCCTATATCTAGAAATGTTCTCTTTAATGAAATAGGGAGATGAAAATCATGCTAAAATCCCTGAGAACACACCCCTAATGGTTTTTTTAAAGCCATTTTGCAACCTAACATAAAAAATATTATACTCACATTTTGGAATAAAGAGTTTAATACACACACACTCACACACACACACACACACACACCCAACCTTCAGTATTTTAGGATTAGAAACCCTATCGTAGAAAAATAAAAGAACTTCTCTGAACACAGTAAAAAAAAAAAAGGGAAAGCCACTGACAGTTTATAGCTACAAATGCAAAAACGACTTTACATTATGAACTGTACACTCCAGCTCCTCTATCCTTTGTTCCAAGTGAGCTTTCTCATTAAACGCTGTATCTTGAGCAATCTGGTTAAAAAGACAAAAACAAAACAAAGCGCTTTCAATGTCACTGTGTCAGGTTTCACAAATGTTCACAAAGATAAAATTCTCTCAAACCTTTAGCCTTTCCCTCAGACTGTCTCGTTCTGTGGTCATTCTTCGTAAGTCGGTGAAGGCTACATCTCTTTCAGTCTCCACCCGCCGGAGGATGGCATGTGCAGTTGTTGATTTAGGAGACTTACAGCTTTTCATCATTTCTCGGCGAAGCCGGGCAATCTCTTCCTGTGCCTATTATTTAAATACATAGACAGACAGACACAAATACAATTTTATATACAGCTGGTTGAAATCCAAACCTATTATCAACAGCCATAGAGTAGGATAATGTTATAATTTTGACTTTATCCAAATAAATGCAAATGCTATATACAAACAGAATTTTGCTTTCCAAAACCTTTGCCAAATTTTGTTTTAAGTGTCTGTACCATGGCCTGTTCCTTTCTACCCACTTTCTCACCCCACTATAACCTGGCTCCCAAATTTTGCAGAATTTCAACTAAAGACCTTAACAAATCTAATGGCCTTTTCCTCAGTTCTTGTTTTTGATACTTTGGTAACATTTGACATTGTTTTGAACATCCTTCTTGATATACTTCCCTCCCTTTCCCTGCCTTTGCTTCCTGTCTTCTTTCTCTCTTTCCAATCCAATAAAACTTTCCAAGACCCCCTATATATAGCTTTCTCATTCAGAGACCTCACCCACTCTGAAGGCCCCAAACTCATCACTAGGCAGATGACTTCTAAATCAAAATATTCAGCTCTTTCTTTTCTCCCTACTCCCGTCCCACATTTCTTACTGCCTGATGGCGATTCCTACCTGAATGTACTCCATCTGTCTGAACCAACCACATTTTTTCCATAAATCACAAATGACTTCCCTATTTCTTTTTCTATAACCACATTCCTTCAGTCTTTCAAAAACTTCAGACATTTCCATTCCTCCCTCCTTTTGGCTCTAATAAAATCTTGTCACTTCTTCCTTGGCAGCATCCTAGCCCAATCCATAAATGCCTCATGCATGAATTACTACAACAGCCTTTTAAAGATTCCATGGATTCTCCCTCCTCTAGTTCTCTTGAAGGAGAAATCTTCATATATAAAAGGCTAATATGCGAAGCGTCCTTCCCTCTGTCCAACCATTACTATTATGAGAATTGACCACCAGGAGGCAGACACTCAACGCAGGAGCTGCTGAGTTACAGTGACTTGGCAGCGGGAGTTCTTGGGTGATGCCCCAAAACCAGGGAGGAGGGAGCCTGATTTCTCTTGGGGCCACATGATTCCACATTTGGCTATGGGTGATGCTGTTTGGGGGCACTGGTTTACTGCACACTTGTGTTTATGTTCCACAATCTATACAACAGCAACTTTGCAGAGTGCCCTCTCACACTTCCAGACCCCTCGGGGGGATGTCGTAGAGCCGGTTTTGGCCCAATCCCTGCAGGCCAAGCCGAAAGACACCACCTGCTGGAGTGACCCCGCTCATTCAGCAGATGCCAGGGAGGTTGGCTCCAGGGCATATCTAGACCATTTCACCCAGTCTCACCCCATCAGTCACCTTCCAATTAATTTTCTTTTTCAATGTGCATGTATCTATGCACCGGGTCACTAGTTGTTATATAAAAAGATAACATATAAAAATTGTGTATGAGATAAAGAAGAAAATATAAAATTCTTATCAGATTAAAATTGTAAAAAATTAGGCTTTAGTCATAGTTCTTCTGCTTTTAAAAAAATAAGCTGCCCATTGCTTATAAAGCAAAGTATAAACTCCTTGGAATGCCCTTGAACAGGCTCCACCATATAGTCCAGAAGCTGGTAACCTACACCAAATCTCACAGGCCAAATCCAGCAAGCCTCCTGTGTTATGTAAGTTTATAAGCTTATAATATTTTTACATTTTAAATATTTGACAATAATCAAAAGAAGAAAAATATTTCATAATGGGTAAAATAATATGAAATTCAAATTTCAGTGTCCATAAATGAAGTTATATTATAGTAACAGAGCAAACATATTCATTTGTATATCATCTGTGGGTGCTTTCACCTCACAAAAACAGCTGACTCACCATGACTGAGATCATGGCCTGCAGAGCCCAAGATATTTATTACCTGGGTCTTCACAGAAACATTTGCAGACAGCTGCTCTAGTTCAATCTACCTCTCAAGTGTCAGCTCCCCCTTCCTCTCCTGTCACGCACCTTTGATGCTAGTCTTTGACTGAATCACTTACCTTTGTCATGTGCCTCACATCATTTCTTTAATCTAAATGTTCCTTCTTATCCTTTTCAAGATAACAGAAACCCTATTCATACTCTACATAGTTTAGTGATCACCATAAAGAAAAATATCTTTAGATTACTTGTGCTAAAATAACAAAAAAGCAAATAAAGACAGTTTACTTTATCTCCCCAATAAGACTGCAAATGTAGAAAACAGTATCTGAACTTTTTTAAACTGTGTTCCCTGAGTTAATGAAGTAGAGCAGTAGCTCACACTAGCTTATTAACTAATTTACACTTCAAATCTCAATTTAAAATTGTCTATGCCCAGTTAGCCTGGCTCATGGTTGATTGTCGACCTATGAACCATGAGATCATGGTTCAATTTCTGGTCAGGACACACGTCCATTTTGGTGGTTTGATCCCCAGTGTAGGGTGTGCAGGAGATAGCTGATCAATGATTCTCTCTCATCATTGATGTTTCTATCTCTTTAATCCTCTCCCTTTCTCAGTGAAATCAATAAAAATATATTTAAAATAAAATAAAATTGTCTGAAGAGAAGGAATAGAGCAAAAATTTGAGGATCATTAACAAAGTATACTTATGCAAGGCTTTCTGAGCAGAGGTTTCAGTAAAATAATCTCCCATCTTATACTCATACGCACAGCATTCTCATTAAGGACTCTCCTGGCTTATAATCATGTGCACGTTCACTGACTCAGGTTGCATGGCACAGACACAGATGCCAGGGAATTCTAATCAAAGCCCAGTAGTCACCCCACACACTAAGAAGTGGTAGCTGCTATTTAAACTGCCCAAACTAAAAACAAGAAAGCTAATTATGGAAGAGAATATCATGTGTCATCCATTAAATAGCTAATATAATGTTTAAAGCTTTAAGCATAATAAAAGACAATGCTGAGAAAGAAAAGAAAAGAAAAGAAAAGAAAAGAAAAGAAAAGAAAAGAAAAGAAAAGAAAAGAAAGATTTAACCAAAAGGATTTATGCGATGGTATATTATACACTGGGCATGGTATATTATACACTGGGCATTTATTTTATACACTGGGCATTTATTTTATACATTAAGATATATGCCCAAACAGATCTATATCCCCCTGGGCCAATTCTCCTAAAACAAGCTTAATTAAATGGCAAAGAGCAAACCCAAATAGGAGTCAGACAATCTGGACTGATTCCTGCTGTTCTTGGGCAAAATAGTTAACCTTATTAGCCCTGCCTTCTCTTATTAAATGAAGCAAACAGGCCACATAATCATGGTATCCAAAGTCACTGTAGTTATTTAAAAAGAGATGAGTGCCCTATCCGGTTTGGCTTAATGGTAGAGCCTATGGACTGAAAGATCCCAGGATCGATTCCAGTCAAGGGCATATGCCCTGGTTGCAGGCTTGATCCCCAGCAAGGGGCGTGCAACAGGCAGCCAGTCAATGATTCTCTATCATCATTATGTTTCTATCTCTCTCTCCCTCTCCCTTCTTCTCTGAAATCAATAAAAATATATTTAAAAAATAAAATAAAAAGCGATGAGTAAGCTTGACTTAATTAAAATACAACCCACTAAGGAGAACTTTAAAACTTAAAAAACAAACAAACGAACAAAAAAAAAACTGGCAATGTTTCCATCTTATGGTGTGTTTTTTTTCTTTTCTTAAAGTGGCAAGCCCATCACCCTGCACAAAGCAGCTGTAATTCTTAATTGAATTTTATATTTTTTAAAATAAATTATTCTAGTAATATATGGTGTTTAATATTTCTGAAATAAAGAAACTATTTGGTTAATAGAGGTATTAATTTTAAGCTAAAAATAGAGATAAACTGATTTTACTCTCTGAAATTAAATTATATAGCAGTTTCTAAAGTGATTGATAGTACATTAAAATGATATGTTACAATTTTTTAATCTCCAAATTCAAATATTTTTACCTTAAACTCAACATATCTTTCTATTTAACATTTTCCCCATTTTTTTATTTCAAAAATCAAACTATTTCTATGCATGTATGTGACCTTTTATGAGTATGGGGACAACAAATGTATGTCCACACATATACTGTATTGGAAATATATTTCTTTAAACATATCTTAAGAATGAAGGTAATTCCTAACTGGTAGTTACATTAATTTGATTGGCAGATTTAAGTATACCTAAATAATTACATATCCCTAGAGTTAACTGTTATTACTTACATATTTTGTTTCCTTATAGGCAAGTTTACCTGTTCATAAAGAAGAAAGGTCTTGTCTCTCTCAGATGTAAGAACCTTGACATTACCCTGAATTTCTGCCAAATGACGCTCATATTTTTCCAGCATGCACTTAAGTTCTTCACGGTCTCGCGTGGTCTTCAAAAGCTCTGCATCACAGTGTGTAACCTACAGTTATTAGATAAGAAATGTGAAGCTCTTCTTTGATATGATGGCTGTTCACAGTCACTATTTAAGCAATCATGATGGTATATTGATGAAATGATGAAAAAAAAGTTTACAAATCACCTCACTTTTAAACAGCTTCATCCAAAATTGCTCTACATTTATCTGATTACCTCCCAACAATGACAAATACTAGGGATAAAGAACCAATTTCAACGGTCCACTGTCCATCAAAGAGACCTCTATCCACAACCTCTTTGATGGACTAATCAACCTGAATTGTTTCCAGATTAGGTAAATCAAAGAATAAATGTCAGTGTTTGAGCCACAAATTCCAAAATATTTATAACTTTCCAAAACTTACCCGGGAAGATGGTGATAGGCGTCTTGGACTTTTAGATCTACTTCTGATCATCTTTCTCAAGTTTTGAGCTTCACTCTTGTAGTCTTTGTCTGCTTATAAGGTCTTGATAAAGGAGTCAAGTCTAAAAGGAGATTTATTTTGTGATGTTTTAATCTCTAAAATTATCTTGCTAGGGAGAAAAATATCAGGCCAATATTTCAAGCTAAACTACAGTAACATTTTCTACATGAAGTTGAACATACACAGGATCCTTAAAAATAATCAAGGTGGTCTGTTTTTGTTGTTGTTTTAAATATATTTTTATTGATTACAGAGAGGAAAGCAAAGGGAGAAAGAGATAGAAACCTCAATGATGAGAAATAATCATTGATCAGCTGCCTCCTGCCCATCCCCCACTAGGGACCAATCCCTAAACCTAGGCATGTGCCCTTGACCAGAATTGAACCTGAGACCCTTCAGTCCACAGGTCATTGCTCTATCATCTGAGCCAAACCAGGTAAGGCAATAAATGTGGTGCTTTAAAAATATTATAACATTTAAAAATTACACTTTAAAAAAAGCAGTTAGCTTTCGTTCTTTCCCAGCATTTCTGAATGTTCTATATTTTGATTTAACTAAAAGTACTCATAAATTTACCCAATAAGTTTGGGGAAAAAAATAAAGAAATAAATTTCAGAGAGGCCAGAAATGTCCAAAGATGTAGTTACAAATACTAAAATAAAATTAATTTTCTTAGAAAAACTTGTATAGCATCTAAGTTTTGTGCAGTAATTGTTCAAGGGATGATTAAATTAAAGAAATACTGGATATTCTATACTTATAAGAACTTTCAAGTGCATTCCTATTCACTTTAGTATATTTAGAAACATTTATTTTATAATATTTATTTTACCAATGCTATATTGGAAGGAAATAAAAGATATAGTTACAGATAAGGGATTTCAAATATTTTAAATAATAAAATTAAAATTTCTAAACAGAGCAGTTTTCATTTCACATTTTTAGATAAAGAAAATATTGATATATTAGTGGGGGGGTGGGGGGAATGGCGGTGGAATAGACAGATGTGTCCTGAGCCTTGTCCTGGAGCAGATAGAGAGAACAGCTGAGGATCGCATGGGGAGTGTTTTTTGGTGAGTTAAGGGACAGCTATATGCCAGAGAAGGTGGGGGACTGCTGGACGGGGCTCCCCTGACCAGGCAGCCCCCACTGCAGCTGGTCTCCCTCCCGGAGCCACTGGCTCAGATGCAGAGACCACGCCATCCTGAAGGGGAAAGTGGATGTTATCAGAAGCCTGAAAATCTACAACTATCTACAGCACCCACTGAACAGCTGTGAACTTTAGAACACCTGTCCCCAATTGGTGCAAACATGTGGATTCAGAGGAGCTCTACATTCCACCACAGAAAGGTCAGATTTCGCTTGGGATAAGGTGAGTCTCTGGTCCTGACAGGACAGAGAAACGCATACATGGTGGGAGCTGAAGACCAGGTGATGTTTGCACCTAGAAAAATCCGTGGCTGTTGGGGCTGGCATGACCAGTGAATGTACAATAGAAGGGGGTCCTCAGAGCTGCTAACAGAAGGGATCTCTAAAAAGCAACTGATTTCGATCTGATGCAAAAGGTCAGCATAAAAATTTTAAGAGTGAGCCAGCTGCTTAGACACAAGGGGGGAAAAAGACTGTACAGACTTGTGCACAGCCCCAGAGTTCGCATACTTACGCTTTTTCCTCTTTAAATCCTTGCTTCTGATTACTAAGCCCAATACATAGGATTACAAATGGGGAAACCCTAAGAGACTGCAGGGGAAAGTTATTTTTCTGGAACCTGGGGATCAGAGAGGGGAATAACATTCAGAGAACCAGTTTTGGGGCAACCTACTCCCACAAACCTGTATTGAGTGCCACAGGGAAAGCAGGATCTAAGCACAGGCTAGAGAGGACCTATACACCCGAGGTAAATCCAGAAACACTGCCACCCAGGGGCTGAATCACAAAATGACTCTTGTGTAATCAGAAATAAAGGAATACAAGAAATTAAGACACACTGCCTGCTTAAAAATCAGGACTGGCTTACAACACTGAGGAACAGTGTTTTCTTGACTGGGAACTGCAATATTTTCTTGACTGGGAAACAGGCATGCCAAACAGAACAATAGAGGAAGTGAATGACCTTTACTACGGCATATTTTTAAATTTATTTTATTATTTTTAATTTATTTATTATTATTATTTTATTTTTTTCATCTTTTATTTAAGAAACTATTTTTTTTCTTTAGCCTCACTTTATTTTACCTTTTTAATTAATACATTTTTATTTTCAATCATTATTATTACTACTACTATTTCCCCCCCCCCCTTTTTTTAAGTGTCATTTTATTTTGTCTTTATTTTACTTTGGGATTAGTGTTCCACATTCTATTTTCATCTTTCCTTCAGCATCATTTTACTCTATCTCAACTCTACCTTTATGACATCACACTCTTCCTAACTTTTCCCCTTTTGTTGTCCTATTTCTCTTACCTTTCTCCTCCTTTAGATTTTCCCTATTCTTTCTTTCTACTCCCTGTTAAAATTTCACCCTACTTATATATCTAATTTCCAGTACCCTACTCCAATTCTATATACACTTCTCCTGTTTTCACTATCCAAAAAATTGTTTTTCTCTCTGTCCTTTTGTTGTTTGCTTGAATGTTGATTATATCAATGTTTTATGCTTGTTTGTGAGATTGTTTTGCGTATTCTTTTGTTTTTTTACTTCTCTTTTCCCTCACCTCGCTTGATACTAGTTGTTGTCTGTAGTTAGTATTCATCTCCAGGTACTTGTTGTTGGCATTTGTTGGGATTAGTGGCTATTCTATTGTAGTTTTCTCCTCATATATAGTTTATTCCCCTTTTCTTTCTTATTCTCTTGATTTTCTCTCTTATTTTTTTTCCTTTTCCCAATTTCACTTTTGCACTTCTTTTTTTTCTACCTCTCTTCTTCTTTCTCTCCTATACTCTAATTTGCATTTCTCTGGCCATCACCTTTATTTGGGGTTATTAATATCATGAATACATTTCTGTTCAGTGCCTTGTGAGTTGTACCTGGTTGTATTGTATTTTGTGCCTTTAAATCAACGCAGGAGAGAGAGAACTACATAACCAGACACCTGGAGAAGAGAGACCATAGGGAGACAAAGAAACAGCCCTGATATAAAAGAAAAGCAGGCATCACCAAAAAAGGAAGTAAACGAAGTGGAGGCAAGCAACATACCAGAGAAATAATTCAGAGAAATGATCATAAGGTGGCTGAAAAGAATGGAAGACAAATTTTCAACAATAGGAGTAAGAACCAAGAGAAAATGAAGAAGAACCAAAAAGAAATGTAAAATTACATCGCTGCTGTAAAGTACTCAATAGAAAGCATAAAGAGTAGACTAGAAGAAGAGGAGGACCACATCAGTGAGCTAGAAGGCAAAGTAGAAAAAATACTCAAGTAGAGCAGCTTCTAGAAAATAAAAATTTTTAAAGCGGGAAGAGAGCCTAAAGGAACTTTGGGACAAAACAACATCCGCATAATACATGTTCCAGAAAGAGAGGAAACTGAGCAAGGAATAGAAAACCTGTTTGAAGAAATAATGACAGAAAACTTCCCTGATATAGGAAAGAAAAACCCCACACAAATCCAAGAAGCTCACAGAGTCTCAATCCAAATGAACCCCAAAAGACCGACACCAAGGCATATTACAATTAAATTGGCAAACACCAACGACAAAGTAATAATCTTAAAAGTGGCCTGAGAGAGAAAGTTACCTAAAAAGGATTCCCCAACAGACTAGCAAATGATTTCTCAACAGGAATTCATCAGGCCAGGAGTGAATGGAATGAAATATACAAAGTCATGCAGAGGAAGGGTCTGAATCCAAGAATACTGTACCCAGCAAGGCTATCAATCAAAATTGAAGGTGAAATCAGGAGCTTCACAGACAAAAAAGAACTAAGGAAATTATTACCACCAAACTAGTAATGCAAGAAATGCTAAAGGGTCTGCTGTAATAAAAATAAAAAATAAATAAAAAAGGAAGCGAAGAAGGAACACCACAGGGGTAAAGAATAAAAATGGTGACAAATAAGTACCTATCAATAACAATTTAAAATGTAAATGGATTAAATGACCCAATCAAAAGTCATAGGGTAACAGATTGGATAAGAAAACACCACCCATATATCTGCTGTCTACAAAAAACCCACCTCAGAAAAAAAGACACACACAGACTGAGGGTGAAAAGATGGAAAAAGGTTTTTCAGGCGAATGGAAATGAAAAAAAAAAAGCTGGGGTAGCACTACTTATATCTGACAAATTAGATCTCAAAATGAAGGACATAACAAGATATATGGAAAGCCACTTCATAATACTAAAGGGAGCAATCCAACAAGAAGAAATAACTCTGGTAAACATATACACACCCAATACAGGAGCACCGAAATACATTAAAAAAACAACAACAAAACTCCTGGAGGATATCAAGGGAGAGAATGACAGCAATACAATCATAGTAAGAGACCTTAATACCCCACTATCACCACTGGACAAATCCTCTACACAAAAAATCAGCATAGAAACATTAATCCTAAATGACTCACTAAACGAGCTGGAATTAATTGACATCTTCAGAACATTTCAACCCAAAGCCACAGAATATACATTCTTCTCAAGTGAACATGGGTCATTTTCAAAGATAGATCATATGTTAGAAACAGGCAAAGTCTTTTCAAATTCAAGAAAATAGAAATCACATCAAGCATCTTCTCAGATCACAGTGGCATAAAACTGGAAATCAACTACATTAAAAACAATCCAAAAAAAAAAAGCAAATACATGGAGACTAAACAGCATGCTATTAAACACTGACTGGGTTACTAGAGAAATCAAGAAAAAAATAAAAAACATCATGGCAACAAATGACAATGAAAAGAGAACAATCCAAAATCTATGAAGCACAGCTAAAGAAGTCTTTTTTCCCCCATTTTTTTTTTTTATTAAGGTATTATATGTGTACTTATCTTACCATTGCCCACTCCCAACTCCCATACATGCCCCCACCCCCCGGAGTTTTGTGTCCATTGATTATGCTTATATGCATGAATTCAAGTCCTTTGGTTGATCTCTCCCACATCTCCCTAATCTTCCCTCTGACAGTCTGTTTGTTGCTTTACTGTCTCTATCTATCTTTTTTGTTCATCAGGTAATAATGTTCTTTTTTTATCCATAAATGAGGGAGACCATGTGGTGTTTTCCTTTCATTGACTGGCTTATTTCACTCAGCATAATGTTCTCCAATTCCATCCAGGTTGCTGCAAATGGTGAGAATTCCTTCTTTTTTATGGCAGCATAGTATTCCATTGTGTAGATGTACCATAGTTTTCTGATCAAATTATCTGCTGATGGGCACCTCGGTTATTTCCAAATCTTAGCTATGGAGAATTGTGATGCTATGAACACAGGGGTGTATATATCCTTTCTGATTGGTGTTTCTAGTTTCTTAGAATATATTCCTAGGAGTGGGATTACTGGGTCAAATGGGAGCTCCATTTTCAGTTTTTTGAGGAAACTCCATACTGTTCTTCACAGTAACTGCACCAGTCTACATTCCCACCAGCAGTGCAAGAGGGTTCATTTTTCTCCACATCCTCGCCAACTTTGTTTATTGATTTGTTGATGATAGCCATTTTGACAGGTGTGAGATGGTACCACACTGTTGTTTTGATTTGCATCTCTTGGATAATTAGTGACTTTGAGCGTGTTTTCATGCATCTCTTGGCCCTCCTTCTGTCTTCTTTTGAAAAGATTCTATTTAGGTCTGTTGCCCATGTTTTTATTGGATCACTTATCTTCATTTTATTAAGTTGTATAAGTTGCCTGTAGATGTTGGAGATTAAACCTTTATCAGTGATAACATTCGCAAATATGTTTTCCCATACAGTGGGCTTTCTTGTTGTTTTGTTGATCTAAAGCAGTCTTGAGAGGGAAGTTCATACCACTACAAGCCTACTACAAAAAATAAGAAACAATGGTAATAAATTTCCTAACTCTTAAACTCAAAGAGTTAGAAAGAAATCAAGAAAAGTCCAGTGTAAGCAGGAGGAAGGAAATAATAAAGATCAGAGCTGAGATAAATGACATTGAGACCAAAGAAACAATACAAAAGATCAACAAAACCAAGAGCTGGTTCTTTAAAGTGATACACAAGATGGATGAACCTCTAGCCAGGCTCACCAAGAAGCAAAGAGAGAGGATGCAAATAAACAAAATCAGAAATGAAAGAAGTGAAATAACAACAGATCCCACCGAAACACAAACAATTGTTAAAAAATACTATGAACAACTCTATTCCAACAAACTGGACAACCTGGAGGAAATGGACATATCTAGAAAAGTATAACCTTCCAAAACACAATCAGGAAGAATTCAAACATATCAATAGGCCAATAACTATGGAAGAAATTGAAGCAGTCATCAAAAAACTTCCAGTAAACAAAAGCCTGGGGCCAGATGGCTTCACAGGGGAGTTTCACCAAACATTCAAGGAAGAACTAAAACCTATTCTCCTCAAAAAATTCAAGAGGAAGGAACACTTCCAAGCTCCTATGAAGCCAGCATTACACTAATACTAAAACCAGATAAATACAACACAATGAAAGAGAATTACATGCCAATATCCCTCATGAACATAGATGACAAAAATCTCAACAAAATTCTAGCAAATCAGGTCCAGCAGTACATCAGAAAGATCATACACCATGACCAAGTAGGATTTATCCCAGGAATGCAAGGATGGTACAATATCCACAAATCAATAAATGTGATACATTACATAAACAAATTGAAAGATAAAAGTCACACAGTCATATAAATTGATGTAGAAAAAGCATTTGACAAAATCCAAACACTCTTAAAACTCTCAACAAGGTGGAAATAAAAGGATTATACCACAACATAATAAAAGCTATATATGGTAAACACACAGCAAACATCAAACTCAAAGGGCAAAACTAAAACTATTTCCCCTAAGAACAGGAACAAGAAAGAGATACCCACTCTCACCACTCCTGTTCAACATAGTACTGGAAGAATAAGCCATTGCAATTAGACAAGAAGAAGAAATAAAAGGCATCCAAATTGGAAAAGAAGTAAAGCTGTCCTTATTTGCAGATGACATGGCATTGTACATAAAAACCCCAAAAGACTCCATAAAAAACTAATAGACTTAATAAATTAATTTGGCAATGTAGCAGGATACAAAAATCAATGCCAAGAAATCTATGGCATTTCTATACACCAATAATGAATTTACAGAGAGACTAAAAATGTAATCCTACTTACCATCGCACCAAAAATATTAGGATACCTATGAATAAACTTAACTAAGGAGGTAAAAGACCTATATGTGGAAAACTACAAGACGCTGAAAAAAGAGATAGAGGAAGACATAAACAGATGGAAGAACATACCATGTTCATGGATTGGTAGAATCAACATCATTAAAATGTCCATATTACCCAAAGCAATCTATAGATTCAATGCACTCCCCATTAAAATGCCAATGGCATACTTCACAGACCTCAAAAGAACTCTCCAAAAATTCATCTGGAATTAAAAAAAAAAAAAAAGACCCCTAATAGCCACAACAATCCTGAGAAAGAAGAACAAAGTATTATAGGTGGGATCTCTATACCAGATTTCAAGCTGTATTACAAAGCCACTGTTCTCAAAACAGCCTGGTATTGGCACAAGAACAAACATATAGATTAATGGGATAGAATAGAGAATCCAGATATCAACCCAAAACACTACGCTCAATTTGACAAAGGAGGCATTGACATACAATGGAGTCAAGACAATCTTTAATAAATGGTGTTGGGAAAATTGGACAGATACATGCAAAAAAATGAAATTAGACCACCAACTTACACCATACACAAAAATAAACTCAAAAATGGATACAGGATTAAACCTAAAATAGGAAACCATAAAAATACTAGAGGAATCACAGGTAGAGAAATCTCAAATATATGCCAAAGGAATTTCTTCACCGATACTACTACTAGGGCAATGGAAGCTAAAGAGAAAATTAACAAATGGGACTACATCAAAATAAAAAGCTTTTTCACAGCAAAAGAAACCATCAACAAAACAACAAGAAAGAACACTGTACGGGAGAACATATTTGCAAATGTTATCGTTGATAAAGGTCTAATCTCCAACATCTACAGGCAACTTATACAACTTAATAAAACGAAGACAAATGATCCAAAAAAAAAACATGGGCAACAGACCTAAATAGAATCTTTTCAAAAGAAGACAGAAGGAAGGCTAAGAGACACATGAAAACATGCTCAAAGTCACTAATTATCTGAGAGATGCAAATCTAAACGACAATGCGGTATCATCTCACACCTGTCAGAATGGCTATCATCAACAAATCAACAAACGACAAAAGTTGGCGAGGGTGTGGAGAAAAATGAACCCTCGTGCACTGCTGGTGGAAATGCAGACTGGTGCAGCCACCAGGGGAGAACAGTATGGAGTTTCCTCAAAAAACTGAAAATGGAGCTCCCATTTGACCCAGTAATCTCACTTCTAGGAATATATCCCAAGAAACTAGAAACACCAATCAGAAAGGAGATATATATCTATATATCTATATCTATATCTATATCTATATCTATATCTATATCTATATCTATATCTATATCTATATCTATATCTATATATATATATATCCCTATGTTCATAACAGCACAATTCTCCATAGCTAAGATTTGGAAACAGCCTAAGTGCCCATCAGCAGATGATTGGATTAGAAAACTATGGTACATCTACAATGGAATACTATGCTGCTATAAAAAAGAAGAAATTCTTACCATTTGCAGCAGCATGGATGGACCTGGAGAGCATTATGTTAAGTGAAATAAATCAGGCAATGAAAGAAAAATACCACATGATCTCATTCATTTATGGACAATAAAGAGCATTATAGCCTGATGAATAAAAAGATAGATACAGAGGCAATAAAGCACTGAACAGACTGTCAAATTACAGCGGGAAGGCTGTGGAGTGTTGGGGAGGGAGGGAAATAGATCAACCAAAGGACTTATATCATGCATATAAGCACACCAATGGACACAAGACACTGCCCGGGGGGAGGAGGGAGATGGGTTGAGGGCATGCGACAAGGGGTAGGGGAGGCTGGCGGAAAGTAAGTGGGGGGAAAAAGGAAAAACATGTAATTCTTTAAACAATAAAAATTAAAAAAAAAAAAAAAAAATATATATATATATATATATATATATATATATATATATATATATATATCCTAGAATTAAACAACAAAATTTGACATAACAGATATTTCTTACTAGGAAAAAGAAAAGTAAATGTGTAGACAAATGCATCTTACATATTGAGAATTAAATTACTCACAGTTATTTTAAATCAGTTAACAGCAAAGGGCATTAATAAAACTAACCATAAGTTCTCTAGGAGAGCAAGGAGTAATGATGAAATGGAGCAAGAAGAGCATTGCTTTTACACATGGGAGTACCCTGTGCACCAAGCAGAGGGTTGACTGTAGAACACAAACATTTTTGACTGTTCGTAAAATCATGACATATGTACAGTTTTTTGTAGTTTTACTATATTAACAAAAATAAAAATTATCTAACATATAAAAGGCACTTACAGATCTGAGTCTTTTTCTTATATCTTCCAATACTATTATATTATTTTGCTGGCAAACGAGTTCAATCTGAAAATCAAGCCAGAAAAAAAAGTTATTTGGATTTTAAATATGTAAACTGATTTAACTCGAAAAAGAGAATATAAAAAGCAAGCCACTCAAAAATAAAAATATGCAGACAGTGAATAATTTACAAAAGAAACAATATTCTACCGCTTTGTTTACCTACTTTTGATGGTAGAAGAACCTAGGAATATGTATAGTAGTTTCTTTGAATTAGCTAATGTCTTGTATAAAATATTGATAATATTTTTTAAATTACTCCCCACAAACTAGAAAAAATGTTAATACTAATCCTGAAGATAATAAAATGGAAGAAATAAAAGAATGACTAGGATTTCAAAAGTTTTCCCAGATCACCCATGTTCATAAATGATTATCTTTTCCTTTGAATTCTTAATAGCTTAGTTAAATCAAACCCACAAAAACTTTCTGTAGATTTATGACATCAAACATATCCAGTCTCGTGGTATAGTTCCCCATAGTTATAGTTTAGTATATAACTAAATTGTATGTTTCTAGAGGCCAGTGACTATGTTTTTATGCAAAGTTGTAAAGCTCTCTGCTGAAAGATGGTAAGCTAGTTTAATAAATTTATTTCTCAATTTATAAACCTCTCATTATTCTAAACTAAAATGTACTATTTTTAAAGTGTATTTCTAAATGTACCATATTTTATTTAACTTTTTTAAATGTACTGTTTTTAAATATATTCTAGGATTAGTGTACCTCATTTGTTCTTTTGACTAAAGTACTTTTCTAAGGTGTTTCTGGAAGTCATATTTTTATGAAATATTAAGGGTTGTTGTGGTATGAGACATATCATATACAATTTGGGTAAGCTTATGTATAGTTATTTGTGTAGATAATTTTCAGTGCTTTAATTATACTATTATGAAGACACTAAAAAAAAGGATATAATTTGAGTTGTGTGTACTGATATCCATACTAAATTAGTATTAAAACTCCACAAGGCCAAAAGTTTTACTTAGTATGACACACGCTTGTAAAAAATAAATTTATATACAAATATCCCATATTCAGATGGAAGAAAACTAATAACATATAAGGAAGATGGATTTTATCTAGTTATTACAATGTATGATTACAGTCAATGTCATTTTATATAGATAAAAAATTTTAATAGATACGTATTACTTTACATATAAAACACATAATGCTGATTCTGCTTTGAAAAACAAAATGAAAACATTTACTTGACAAATGTTTAATGAGGACCATGTGCTTGACATTTTGCTATATGCTAGATCTAGTGGTGAATGAAATAGACAGAAATTTCTGTCCTCATGAAGCTGACATTCTACTTAAAAAGAGAAAAACAAAAGATATTAGGTAAAATATATGTCAGATAGTGAGTGCGTTCTTCAAAAAATATATATTGAGCACTCACATCTGTTCTTTTCACTTGACATATAAAAAAGTGGACAAAATAAATCAAGATCCCTGCCTTTGGGTAAGTTATATTCTAGCTGGGTAGAAAATAAACGTAACAAATAAATTATATAGTACAATAGAAAGAGCAGAGTTAAGGCTCCTGGGGTGTTTATGAAGGAACAGGTTGGAATTTTACATAGGGTGATTGTGGAAGTCCTCATGAAAAGGAGTCCTTTGAGCAAAGACATAAAAATCTGGGGGAAAAAAAAAAAAACAAAAAAACTCCAGATATAGCCTCCAGCAAAGGTCCTAAAGATAAGAGACACCTACTAAATTCCAAGGAATAATAAGGAGGCTAGTGTGGCTGGAGCAGAGGGAGGGACAAAGTAGTAGGAAAGTGCTACAGAGAAAAATAAAGCAAGCAGAAGACAAAGAGACTTGTGCATATTTGTGTGTGTGTGTGTATCTAATAATGGCTCCTAAGTTAATTAAAAATATAAATTGTGCCGGGACCGGTTGGGCTCAGTGGATAGAGCGTCGGCTTGCGGATTGAAAGGTCCCGGATTTAATTCCGGTCAAGGGCATGCACCTTGGTTGCCGGCACATCCCCAGTAGGGGGTGTGCAAGAGGCAGCTGATCAATGATTCTCTCTCATCGATGTTTCTAATTTTCTATCCCTCTCTCTTCTTCTTTGTGAAAAATCAATAAAATATATTAAAATATATATATGTAAATTGTATCAAAATAAACTAGTAATGGTGAAATTGCAATTCTGCTTTTCCATATTTCAAAAAATTGTGTTTTTACTTATCTGGAAAACACTGTTTTAAGACATAAATGGCAAACACCTCAAAATGAGAAGATAAAAGGAGGCATATAGTTGTAATGGTTTTCAAACGTCCATGAACTCTAATACTCCTTCCTTCAAAAAATGGAGCTTACCTGCCCTCCCCTTAAGTGTGGGCTACACCCAGAGACACTCGTCTAACGAACAGGATGTGGTGGGAGTGTGGTGCACAGGCATTACCCATTCCTCCTTGCTGTCTCTCTGGGATCACAGGCTTGGAGACAAGCCAGCCGCTGTGACGACTATATCAAACAGCCAGAGGGAGAGTCCACCTGGTGAGCAACTGAGGCTTCTGCCACAAGCCAATGGCCAGCTGAGTAAGGCATCGTAAAAGCAAATCTTCCAGGACAGTCAAGCAATGACTGTGTCCTGTCATCTGGATGATAATTCCCAAGAAACCATGAACCAGAACCACTCAGCTAAGTGGCAACTGAAATTGCGAGATATAAATGTTTGTCATTTAAAGCTATTAAAGTTTAGGGAATATTTGATACATAGTAATAGATAACACAATAATAAATATTCAAAACATTTTTATGGAATAAATAATGGAAGAAGTTACTCTTTAAAAAGTTGACCTTTAAAAAATGACTAAAAGTGGATTCCAAGATGGCTGCAGAATAAGTGGAAGCTACATTCACCTGCTCCCAGCCACAAACCAGATTTACAGCTAACTTGTAGAGCAATAAACTTGAATAACCAAATGAAATATTATAACCAAGGATTTACAGAATAAGCCACATAGAGACTGGTAAGAAGGGCAGAGGCAAGGAAAGGGCTAGCATCCATACCCATGTGTGATGGGTAAGAAGCCAGAGGATATTGTGTTGCAAAACTTGTGCATGCGCCCCCCCCACTCCCTACCCCCGCTCAAACACACACACAGGGATCCCAAACCCAGAGCAACCAAGATGGGAAGAGGAGCACGCATAGCATCTGGTGGTGAAAACCAGTGGGGCTTCAGTCTGCCTGGGAGACCAGATGCCACCTTCCCAGGAATGAGAACCTCTGTTATTACAGCACTAGCCTGGGGAGTGCACTGTCTGGCCCCAAGAGCTAGCTGCGGCACTTTGCCAAACTCAGGCCATCTGGAGGTGTCAGCAGCCAGCACCGACTTTAGGGTCCTCTTTTTCTAGGGGGTTCTCAGCGGAGACCCAGACAGTGACTAAAATGTACAGCTTTGGAAAGAGGGCAGGTCTCCCCATCTGGAGTGCAAAGCTGGTGCCCTTCCCCCCGGATGCTGAATCACTGGGTGGGTCCGGTCCTGCTGAGTTACCTACATGGGAAAACGGGAGTGCCATTCAGAGCTGGAAACTTCAGAGTATGCTTCCTGGGGAAGTTTTTGTACAGCAACAGGACAGCTGGGTGCTGTGGTACACACCACATTGCCAGGGCAGGGGCCACTCCCCTCTCTTTACTAGCTCAGCTTGCACTACCCTGAGAAGGTGAAAAAGTACCTGCCCCCTCCTACAGGTTTGTGGGCACCACCCCCAAAAGGTGACTGTTTGGATCATCCCTGCCAAGTCCTAGATACCCCGCCCAGCTAGTCTCAGTTCTGATGAGGGAAGGGAGAATGGTTCAGAGCTGGAACATTCTAGGTTTGAGGAAGTTGGAGGCTGTTATCTGGGACCAGGATGATGTGCTTAGATCCCTCCTGTGGACTCTGCTGGCATCACCCCCAATGGGAGACTTTTGATCTGTCCCCCTGAGTCCAGTTTGCTCGTGTGGATGGGCGGGCGGGTTGGCTGCATCCAACCTGAACTTGTGGCATGCCCCTTTGGGGGGAACTGGAGTTAGAGACTCTGGTATGGACTGAGTGGTTTGGCTCTGGAGGAAGGGTCACTTTCTCTCATTAGTTGCCTGACCTCATGACCTCCAAGTAGGGGACCCACTGGTCCTGTCCTCCCACCACCATACCAGGCTTGCAATCTGTGGAAGAGCCTCTAGTTTGTGGCCAGTCTGAGCCCACACTACAGTCTTTCTTTGGCAGGAGGAAGACAAGGCAACCTCAGGAGTAGTTGGAGTAACTGACAGGCGAAGCCAGACTCAGGAAGCCTCAGGCCTTTTACGGATCTGCCCCCAACTCTAAACTAAAGGACACCAAACCTTATATTCAGATTGGCCCCTCCAATACACACCCAGGCCCAGTAGACACAACCACAAACTGTTAACTGGGTGGTAACTCCAGACAGGTAGACCAAGGCCAGTTATATACCATGTCTGACTTGTACCTGTAAGTGAACCTCGCCTGAGGACCCAGGACCAACACAACCAGTAATGAGCATCAGACCACACCAGAGCAAGTCCCAACTAGCCATACAGGTGGCATACACAAAAGGGGATTCGGGCAGGTACCAGAACCTACAGGGAACAACTCTATTTTGAGAGGGACACTTCTGCACAATGTCTCACACAGGATGATTGAGGTTTCCCCTTACAGTCAGGCAGCCTGAAGAATTAACTCCACTCATGTAGGGCCCAAAAATATTCAAGACTCAATTACAATAGGTGGATACACATAACCCACAAGAAACATAGAGCTCAGGTGACTTAAAAGATTGTGCCACTGAGCCTGACAAAACACCTTCATCATAAAGCCATCATAACAAATTTGGGAGCCATAACAAATCAACCTAATACACAGAAACAAAATGGAGAGACAAAGAAATATGTTCCAAATGAAAGAACAAGAGAAATCACCAGAGAAGAATTAAATTAAAAGAAGCAACCAAAACATTAGATGCAGAGTTTAAAACAATGGTTACAA